CACCTTGGGATAGGGTAAGCAGTTCCGCACCTTGGGATAGGGTAAGCAGTTCCGCACCTTGGGATAGGGTAAGCAGTTCCGCACCTTGGGATAGGGTAAGCAGTTCCGCACCTTGGGATAGGGTAAGCAGTTCCGCACCTTGGGATAGGGTAAGCAGTTCCGCACCTTGGGATAGGGTAAGCAGTTCCGCACCTTGGGATAGGGTAAGCAGTTCCGCACCTTGGGATAGGGTAAGCAGTTCCGCACCTTGGGATAGGGTAAGCAGTTCCGCACCTTGGGATAGGGTAAGCAGTTCCGCACCTTGGGATAGGGTAAGCAGTTCCGCACCTTGGGATAGGGTAAGCAGTTCCGCACCTTGGGATAGGGTAAGCAGTTCCGCACCTTGGGATAGGGTAAGCAGTTCCGCACCTTGGGATAGGGTAAGCAGTTCCGCACCTTGGGATAGGGTAAGCAGTTCCGCACCTTGGGATAGGGTAAGCAGTTCCGCACCTTGGGATAGGGTAAGCAGTTCCGCACCTTGGGATAGGGTAAGCAGTTCCGCACCTTGGGATAGGGTAAGCAGTTCCGCACCTTGGGATAGGGTAAGCAGTTCCGCACCTTGGGATAGGGTAAGCAGTTCCGCACCTTGGGATAGGGTAAGCAGTTCCGCACCTTGGGATAGGGTAAGCAGTTCCGCACCTTGGGATAGGGTAAGCAGTTCCGCACCTTGGGATAGGGTAAGCAGTTCCGCACCTTGGGATAGGGTAAGCAGTTCCGCACCTTGGGATAGGGTAAGCAGTTCCGCACCTTGGGATAGGGTAAGCAGTTCCGCACCTTGGGATAGGGTAAGCAGTTCCGCACCTTGGGATAGGGTAAGCAGTTCCGCACCTTGGGATAGGGTAAGCAGTTCCGCACCTTGGGATAGGGTAAGCAGTTCCGCACCTTGGGATAGGGTAAGCAGTTCCGCACCTTGGGATAGGGTAAGCAGTTCCGCACCTTGGGATAGGGTAAGCAGTTCCGCACCTTGGGATAGGGTAAGCAGTTCCGCACCTTGGGATAGGGTAAGCAGTTCCGCACCTTGGGATAGGGTAAGCAGTTCCGCACCTTGGGATAGGGTAAGCAGTTCCGCACCTTGGGATAGGGTAAGCAGTTCCGCACCTTGGGATAGGGTAAGCAGTTCCGCACCTTGGGATAGGGTAAGCAGTTCCGCACCTTGGGATAGGGTAAGCAGTTCCGCACCTTGGGATAGGGTAAGCAGTTCCGCACCTTGGGATAGGGTAAGCAGTTCCGCACCTTGGGATAGGGTAAGCAGTTCCGCACCTTGGGATAGGGTAAGCAGTTCCGCACCTTGGGATAGGGTAAGCAGTTCCGCACCTTGGGATAGGGTAAGCAGTTCCGCACCTTGGGATAGGGTAAGCAGTTCCGCACCTTGGGATAGGGTAAGCAGTTCCGCACCTTGGGATAGGGTAAGCAGTTCCGCACCTTGGGATAGGGTAAGCAGTTCCGCACCTTGGGATAGGGTAAGCAGTTCCGCACCTTGGGATAGGGTAAGCAGTTCCGCACCTTGGGATAGGGTAAGCAGTTCCGCACCTTGGGATAGGGTAAGCAGTTCCGCACCTTGGGATAGGGTAAGCAGTTCCGCACCTTGGGATAGGGTAAGCAGTTCCGCACCTTGGGATAGGGTAAGCAGTTCCGCACCTTGGGATAGGGTAAGCAGTTCCGCACCTTGGGATAGGGTAAGCAGTTCCGCACCTTGGGATAGGGTAAGCAGTTCCGCACCTTGGGATAGGGTAAGCAGTTCCGCACCTTGGGATAGGGTAAGCAGTTCCGCACCTTGGGATAGGGTAAGCAGTTCCGCACCTTGGGATAGGGTAAGCAGTTCCGCACCTTGGGATAGGGTAAGCAGTTCCGCACCTTGGGATAGGGTAAGCAGTTCCGCACCTTGGGATAGGGTAAGCAGTTCCGCACCTTGGGATAGGGTAAGCAGTTCCGCACCTTGGGATAGGGTAAGCAGTTCCGCACCTTGGGATAGGGTAAGCAGTTCCGCACCTTGGGATAGGGTAAGCAGTTCCGCACCTTGGGATAGGGTAAGCAGTTCCGCACCTTGGGATAGGGTAAGCAGTTCCGCACCTTGGGATAGGGTAAGCAGTTCCGCACCTTGGGATAGGGTAAGCAGTTCCGCACCTTGGGATAGGGTAAGCAGTTCCGCACCTTGGGATAGGGTAAGCAGTTCCGCACCTTGGGATAGGGTAAGCAGTTCCGCACCTTGGGATAGGGTAAGCAGTTCCGCACCTTGGGATAGGGTAAGCAGTTCCGCACCTTGGGATAGGGTAAGCAGTTCCGCACCTTGGGATAGGGTAAGCAGTTCCGCACCTTGGGATAGGGTAAGCAGTTCCGCACCTTGGGATAGGGTAAGCAGTTCCGCACCTTGGGATAGGGTAAGCAGTTCCGCACCTTGGGATAGGGTAAGCAGTTCCGCACCTTGGGATAGGGTAAGCAGTTCCGCACCTTGGGATAGGGTAAGCAGTTCCGCACCTTGGGATAGGGTAAGCAGTTCCGCACCTTGGGATAGGGTAAGCAGTTCCGCACCTTGGGATAGGGTAAGCAGTTCCGCACCTTGGGATAGGGTAAGCAGTTCCGCACCTTGGGATAGGGTAAGCAGTTCCGCACCTTGGGATAGGGTAAGCAGTTCCGCACCTTGGGATAGGGTAAGCAGTTCCGCACCTTGGGATAGGGTAAGCAGTTCCGCACCTTGGGATAGGGTAAGCAGTTCCGCACCTTGGGATAGGGTAAGCAGTTCCGCACCTTGGGATAGGGTAAGCAGTTCCGCACCTTGGGATAGGGTAAGCAGTTCCGCACCTTGGGATAGGGTAAGCAGTTCCGCACCTTGGGATAGGGTAAGCAGTTCCGCACCTTGGGATAGGGTAAGCAGTTCCGCACCTTGGGATAGGGTAAGCAGTTCCGCACCTTGGGATAGGGTAAGCAGTTCCGCACCTTGGGATAGGGTAAGCAGTTCCGCACCTTGGGATAGGGTAAGCAGTTCCGCACCTTGGGATAGGGTAAGCAGTTCCGCACCTTGGGATAGGGTAAGCAGTTCCGCACCTTGGGATAGGGTAAGCAGTTCCGCACCTTGGGATAGGGTAAGCAGTTCCGCACCTTGGGATAGGGTAAGCAGTTCCGCACCTTGGGATAGGGTAAGCAGTTCCGCACCTTGGGATAGGGTAAGCAGTTCCGCACCTTGGGATAGGGTAAGCAGTTCCGCACCTTGGGATAGGGTAAGCAGTTCCGCACCTTGGGATAGGGTAAGCAGTTCCGCACCTTGGGATAGGGTAAGCAGTTCCGCACCTTGGGATAGGGTAAGCAGTTCCGCACCTTGGGATAGGGTAAGCAGTTCCGCACCTTGGGATAGGGTAAGCAGTTCCGCACCTTGGGATAGGGTAAGCAGTTCCGCACCTTGGGATAGGGTAAGCAGTTCCGCACCTTGGGATAGGGTAAGCAGTTCCGCACCTTGGGATAGGGTAAGCAGTTCCGCACCTTGGGATAGGGTAAGCAGTTCCGCACCTTGGGATAGGGTAAGCAGTTCCGCACCTTGGGATAGGGTAAGCAGTTCCGCACCTTGGGATAGGGTAAGCAGTTCCGCACCTTGGGATAGGGTAAGCAGTTCCGCACCTTGGGATAGGGTAAGCAGTTCCGCACCTTGGGATAGGGTAAGCAGTTCCGCACCTTGGGATAGGGTAAGCAGTTCCGCACCTTGGGATAGGGTAAGCAGTTCCGCACCTTGGGATAGGGTAAGCAGTTCCGCACCTTGGGATAGGGTAAGCAGTTCCGCACCTTGGGATAGGGTAAGCAGTTCCGCACCTTGGGATAGGGTAAGCAGTTCCGCACCTTGGGATAGGGTAAGCAGTTCCGCACCTTGGGATAGGGTAAGCAGTTCCGCACCTTGGGATAGGGTAAGCAGTTCCGCACCTTGGGATAGGGTAAGCAGTTCCGCACCTTGGGATAGGGTAAGCAGTTCCGCACCTTGGGATAGGGTAAGCAGTTCCGCACCTTGGGATAGGGTAAGCAGTTCCGCACCTTGGGATAGGGTAAGCAGTTCCGCACCTTGGGATAGGGTAAGCAGTTCCGCACCTTGGGATAGGGTAAGCAGTTCCGCACCTTGGGATAGGGTAAGCAGTTCCGCACCTTGGGATAGGGTAAGCAGTTCCGCACCTTGGGATAGGGTAAGCAGTTCCGCACCTTGGGATAGGGTAAGCAGTTCCGCACCTTGGGATAGGGTAAGCAGTTCCGCACCTTGGGATAGGGTAAGCAGTTCCGCACCTTGGGATAGGGTAAGCAGTTCCGCACCTTGGGATAGGGTAAGCAGTTCCGCACCTTGGGATAGGGTAAGCAGTTCCGCACCTTGGGATAGGGTAAGCAGTTCCGCACCTTGGGATAGGGTAAGCAGTTCCGCACCTTCTTTCCTTGGCAAGTGCTTCGCTGATTTGTTGGTGTTTTCAGACCTGCTACCTTCGCAGCACCATGCGCCGCAAGTAGCGCATTTTAGGAATTTGAGAACGCTTTGTTCTTGACATCGTCAACTTCAGCATTTCGTATTCAGGAGAGATACCAGGATTCTTATACCCGAGCTTGCAGTTTTTTATTAAATGCCCACGCGAACGATGTGGGACGGCACGAACTCCATAAAAACAATATGCGCTCTGGGGCGGAATAGTGCGGAGCGAGATGAATTTGCTTGGTGCGGAAGAGAGCCCCGACAAAGTCCGAGACCACCACGGCTTCAGTAACAAGTAGACATTGCGCAGGAAGGGTAGCACCAATGTTTGAACACAGAAAACAGCGATTCCGACAGTCTGACTAAGACGAGCCAAGTCACAAACTTTGTGATGTGCGAAGCGACAATTTTAATGACGCGGAGGAAGTACCCGTGTATCACAGACGTTATGATCAAGAAAGAAAAGGTCCTTCCACTGAAGTTCTTTCAGGCACGCACACTCTTTCACCTCACCGTTGCACACACTTACCAGAAAGTGGTTGTCGCGGATGTCCAGCAACTCCAGGCGCCGGTTTCCCTTCAGCATTTGGCCAAGTGCAACGGCATCGTCTGCCGTGAGACCGTTGTCTCCTAAGTAGAGATGCGCTAGTGTAGTATTGCACTTCAGTGCCGCAGCTATCACACGGAGACAGATACGCACGAGATCGCAGGCAATCATCCTTTGCTACACTGAAAAAGTTGAAGTTGTCGCCAGGAAAAAAACCAATCAATATTATTACGGAGTGCACGTAGAGACTCACTGTACACAAACTTCAGGTGAGCCACCGCAATCTGTTATGCTGTTTGAATCTTGAAATAATCAGAATAAAAACCTTACCGAGAATGATCAGACGACGCCCAGCCAGGGCATTGCGCTCCAAGTGCAACGTGAGAAGTGGACAGTTAGCCCTAAGAGACCTGCAGACCATTGGTAGTGCACTCAAATCTGTCAGTGACTGAGACAGGTCGAGGTAGTGTAGAAATGTTGCCTGATGAACCAAACACAGATAGAACACAAGAACAAGAAGCAGCCATGTAAGCATGTGTCAAGCAGGATAGAGTCTGCTACTACATAAGCACCTACATATTTCACAACCCAACGTTCTAGCTCGGGTTTCCTTGCCATGGTTTACTTTCCCCAGAAGCCATTTTCCTGATCACAGTGTAATTGTGCCTAATCAGCAGCTCTCCCACATGTCAATGATGGCAATATTTACCATTCCAACTATTGATACCTCCTGCCAAGCCACTGTACACCAATTGGCCAAATCATGCCGCATAACTGCACTTACCCTCTTCATCATGCGAGACAGAGCGAGCCACATTTGTCTGGTGAGTTTAGGATTGTTTCCCATGCTTAGAATGTGTGCTCCTTCATAGAATTCGACCATCTCCAGTAATGCCATGGCACCCTACATACCACAGCACAGATGCACGGAGAACAAAACTCTCAGTCAGCAATGGAAAGTGTCCGAGACAAAACAAAAGGGCAGGAGAAGGGCATTTCGTACTGTTCAACACACAGATTATAGAGTCTGGTAGTAATGATAAAGCAATTGGACGGTAGCAGAGGAGAGCAGGAAGGAGAAGAGGGGTGGGGAATGAAAAAGAATGGCATGATAGGCAACATAAATGAACTTTTCTGAGTAGGCAATGAACAGTGCATGGCCAGCAGTTTGCTGTGGAAATACCATGACCTGTGTGCTTTGGCCTTACATCATCTTCCAGTCCACATCCATCGACATTGAGAAGATTCACAGTGACCCGTCGAAATATTTCTTCCAAAGCTTCACAATGCCGAGTATCCAGTCTGACGCCTGGAGTGCATACAAGTAGATGGCATACAAGTAGATGGCATACAAGTACACTGCATTATATCCATCGCAGTAGAAGTTGTGTCTGTACGGGTAGAGCCACCGCTCAGATGCATTGAGGCAATGCCAAGGGACACAACGATTCTACACCATTGTACCCACCTGAACGCCAGACTGATGCGACTTCTATTCCATGGGCACGGGGCCATGATGCCACGTGGTGTATGCACTACGCAGCTCCCACCATGAAATTCCAAGCGCGCAAAAATGGCAACCAGATATTACTCTTTGAGCTCCCATTCATACGTAGTACATGACGATGTGATTGTATATATGTTCATGCAGTTCTGATAACGTGGCGCGCGACTAACGTCTCAGAATCATTTCACTACTCACACAGCCACATAGTGCCTCACACTATCATTACGACTGGCTCTACTAGTGAATGCTCCTGATGGCAATACATTGCGACACGCAGATCTCACCTTTCAGCATTAGGCAGTCCTGGCGCGCGTTGAAATCGGTGATGTTCTATTGCAAAGTCATAATGTACATGCATGTAAAAACACAATAACTTAATTACAGTAAAACCTGTCAAGGCGACCACTCGGATAAGGTGACCACCTGTCCTGAAAGACCACTGGAACCAGGACCAAGGGATGCTACTTCCAGTTAAATGACCCTGGATAAGGAGACCACCTGGTAAGTGGTAACAGAGACCACATTTTGAAGGTCCCTTGAGCGGTCGTCTTAGACAGGTTTCACTGTAGTACAAGTGCACACAAAATATAATAAATTACATGATGACTGAATTTTCATTTGCATACACAACACTGCTAACGGTGTGAACAGTGTGTTGTGCACGGCAGGGGCAGTCAGAGGCACCATGCCCAGACCTGTATACTCCAAGAAGTATTATAGTAGCGATGTTCTGCTCTAGGTTACGGCAATGCGATGCGTAGAACCCCTTGATCACTCTTCGCACTCCTGTAGCGTAGGAGAAAGTTGTTCTGCTCTACGTTCATGCAAAGAAATCCCATCATGAAATGGGAATTTCCCGTTTAAAATTTGGAAGTTTTCTCAAATGATACCAGGCGGATCCGTGCGCATTTTCTTTGCATACGCCACAACGTAGAGAATCGCATTCCTATTTAGAAATCTGGACCCAAAACACGTGAAGCCGTAGACTCTAACCCCGGACACCTGTTCGCTACGTGATTTCTCTACGCTTCACACTAAGCAGAACCGTGAACACTAGTCTCAGTGAGTGAGCAAGCATGACATCAAATGCTCACCTGAACAAATTCGACCACTTGGCTCAATGGGCGCACCTTGACCTTGCTGCATGCCACACGGTACATTTCCAGTACCCGTGAGCATGACGGTGGCACAACTGTAACCAAGGAAGAGCACGCAAATACAGTAAAACCTGTCAAGGCCACCACTCGGATAAGGCGACCACCTGTCCCAGACGACCATTGCAGCCAGGACCAAGGGATGCCATGTCCAGTCAAATGACCCTGGATAAGGAGACCACCTGGTAACAGAGACCACATTTTGAAGGTCCCTTGAGCGGTCGTCTTAGACAGGTTTCACTGTAGTATTTTGCCGGTTACCATAATGTTGTGTATAAGAGCCGGGCTTATTCCTGTAGAAGCCGATGTCACGGCTAAGTTTCTATTCAAGCCAGGCATTTCTATGTACGTCAACACTAAAACCAGGCTTATGTGCCAACAGTGCATCTTGAAAATCAGCCTTGTATTCAAAACAGGCTTCTATATGAGACCGGCTTTAAAACAAGACACTACAGTATTAATGGACCTCTTATGACCTAAACAGTAAGCACCGAACTAAAACTGTGTGGATACCGGTAGTCGACTTCCAACCGGGGCCCTTGAACTGGGAAACGGAGGTCCTAAAACTGGCCTAAGTATGGGGGGGGGGGGGGGGGACTTTCAACCGGTGAAATACAGTAACAGGGTATGGAACTTCTTGAAAATAATTTCCTAGCATAATGCTTCTAGAGGAATTACTGGAGCTATCAAATGCAGTTTATAGTGATACGCACTCCTGGAAGGAAGAGAGAAATAGAGAAGCGCCCTGCATTCAGGCTGCAGTCACACCAAGACGATTCGGCGTAAAAATCGCTTTAGTCTCTATGGAAAAGGCTGAACTTTGGACTCTCAGCCACGTTTCACAGAAGTCTTCTTCCGCTGTCCAACTACACGTTGTTCAATGCTACAATGCGGGCAGAGCTGACGTACAAAGAAGCCAGAATGCTCGAATTTCGCACTTATACATACTGTAAAGTCTTGTATAAAAGCAGCGGCTTCTATGACTTTCTTGGTGAAATTTTGCAGGCTTCTATATGAGACAGGCTTCTATACAAGACAGGTATTTCTATGTATGTCAACACTAAAACCAGGCTTATGTGTGATTTGATGGGCCCAAAATTGCGGCTTCTATTCGAGGGCGGCTTCTATTCAAGTGCGGCTTTTATACAAGACTTTACGGTATACTTGTGAGATAGAAACATTATCAAAACATTTTCAAAGGGCTACGGGAAAGAATACACATGGAAGATTGTGAATCAAATCAAACGACATGTGTGTTTTGGTTGCATATTGGCTTTGCGATGCCGGGTAAAGTATTTCAAAATTACTGCGTCACAGCGACTGTGACAGCTGGCCACCCAGCAACTTGCAAATATTTCATCATACTCCTGTTGCTTGCCATAGCAACCACACATGCGCAGATCATGGCAGATGGTGTCGTGTAAAGGACTGTGGAAACCCATGAAATCGGTTTCTTCATACGTGCTTTCACGCTCAAAAACAGGTTGAAAACATTAGAGAGGTTCCGCACTACTTAAAGTAGAGCAACTTTACGTTAGTGGGCGGGAAAAACCCGTGAGTTCGCGAGTTTGCACTCCACTTACGGAAAGTTGTTCACATTGTCTATAGCCTCATCTTTTAACTTTTCTTTTTCCTTTTTTGCCTCATTGGCGCTCTTTGAATTTGTGTGTCAACACTGTTGAGTTGTTCGATGTGAAACGAGAGAGCTTGGAAGCTCAGGGCCCTACGCTATGCTTTTTTGCCGTGATGGCCTAGACAAAAAAAGCATAGGGAAGTTATAAATTCTTAAAAAATCCCATTTTTTTTTAAGACATAACCTGGGATTCGAACCCACACTATCGCGCGACCTGCATGCAACCCCCGATACACTTCGCATACATACTAATTCTTCCAAGTTGCTTCACGTTATGATCTTGCATTTGAAAGCCCTATTTGAATATGCATTGTGGCCAGCCGTCTTTGATGGTACGGTACGGTATAGGTACGGTACGGTATAGGTACAGAACAGGTACGATCGAGGGTAATACGACACCGTCTACCGCCTTGATGACGGCAAAAAAAGCATAGGGATGTTATAAATTTTTCAATTCTCCTATTTTTTTCAGGCATATCCTGGGATTCGAACGCACACTAACGCCCTACATGCATTCCCCCATACACTTCGCATTCATACCCATTCTTCCAAGTTGCTTCACGGTATGATCTTGGGTTTGAAAGCCCTTTTTGAATATTGCGGCCAGCTGTATGTGGCCAGCTGTGTTTGATGGTACGGTACGGGACAGATACGGGATAGCGCCAGGCGTGACACAAACAAACAAACAAACACCAAATTAAAGCTGTGTGGACCCTGGCTAGCGCCAGACGTTACTGAAGTAACGTCTTCTGCATAGCTAGGGGAATAAATACTACTACTACTACGCAGAGTACGTAGATAGGGCTCTGATAACGTAGGTGCTCCGTAAGTGGACTGGGGTACACATTTATGACTCTCTGCCCAGGTCGATCCGGTTGTACACTGCCGCGTTCGGAGTTGCCAGGGGCAGCTACATGATTTGAAAACTCCATATTATGGCGGAACACAGATCCGCATGCAGTTTCCGTAAGACTTTCAGTAGATCGATTACGTTTTTTTACTAGCGTAATTACGTTAATATGCGGAACCTCTCTATTATCACAACGACTCAGTCCTTGTATCCACTGGTTCACACATCACATTGCTATCACTTAATCACACGCCACACATATTCTGCATTTGTAGAATTTCAGCAATTTTGGAATACTAATCAACAAAATCAAACAAGACTAACGAACAGTACGTTTCGATGATTTCCTATCTCCCGCGTGCGGCTGTGCTGTGTCCCCAGCGACTTAAATTCAATGAATGCAGTGCATCAATTGTTTGTTTCCTGTCATGAGGTTTCCCCGATAACGCAAGCCAAATATTGATCAGGCTGCAGTAGCATGTTTTTAGAGCGTGTAGCAGCTCACCATCTTTCCAGGGCAGTTGAGCAGGACTGGAATCTGTCAGCTCCTCTCCTTCTCGAAAACGGACCCTCGAGTTCTGCAGCTCTTTCCGCCGTTCCTCAAAGTTTCTAGTCAGTGATGATTTACGTTTCATCCGACGGATAGCAGGTTTTGCCTGCTCCGCATTCGGCACCACTGCAGTGCCGCTATTCTCGGAGGAGGTAGCGGCTACAGGTGTTCGTGCAGTGCTTGCAACGGTCAAACTCAGATCCACAGGGGCTTCTGCCATTACTCAGCTCACGTTGATTGCATTGCTTGCTATGCCTTTTCTGCACTAGGTTTCAGACACAATGCATGATCGATGCGAAGCTGCTACGTTAGCACACCAGGCCAGGCGCAAGTACAGGTCAGTCACTTTACCTTCAACAAAAAATTATTAATCTCCTCAACACTTTTTCTCCTGTTTTACTATAAAAATATTATTATTTTGTGCGCACAACATACAACGACAAGCATGCACGATCGATAAGCGATAGCACCAACCATGCCAACGGTAACGAATTTTTTACGTGACCAAGACAATCATAGTCATTGCATGGCATGGCAAAAGCGCAAGAGCTAGAGATCGAGAGTACAGTCAAGAATACAAGATTGGCGCGCATGGCGAAGCAAGAGTACAGTCATGACCACATTGTGGTTGTGATGCATATCCTACACTGACTGACACAGTGACCATGTGACACTTGACAGACTACTACATGTACATTGAATCTGTGTTCCCATTATCTTTTATCACTCCTTATCACTCCCTTACCATGCTTACCGGCCTTAGTATTGACTCACATAGATTTTTGCCATACCAAAGCACTCATATAATTATAATAACAAGGAACCGAGTGTACATGTATTATAGAGATTTATACCTCACTCCATATACACTTACAGTCTTAGGCATGCTCTCCCTTAGTGGTGTATATATCTCCATATACACCGCTAAGGGAAATTAGCAGTAGTTGTCAGCGAGGAACAAACCATTAGGAGGTCACACGCGGTGAATATAATAATAATAATAAAACAGGTCGCGTAATGAAGCAGCATAACGATAGATGTGCAAAGTCATGATGCCTGGTCCGCTTCTGTCCTGGGTTCACTACCCCGTGCGTTGCAGCCGCAAGCAAAACCAGCTCAGGCTGAGAGTTCGCACGGTGAATATGGAGAGGTATAAATAATAACAAAGGAACCTCGTGTATATCGAGATATATACACCAGTTATAAAAACCTCGGCTTCGCCTCAGTTTTCATACTGGTGTATACATGTATCATATTATTATAACAAGGAAACCGAGTGTATATAGAGATATATACACCAGTATGAAAACCGAGGCGAAGCCGAGGTTTTTATAACTGGTGTATATATCTCGTTATACCTCACTCCATATACACCCACACTCATATACCAGATCTCCCATGAAATTTATATATTTCCATATACACTGTTCAATATACACCACTAAGGAGGTATATACACCACTGAGGAAAACCATTAGAAAAAAACTCACTGAGGAGCTTTCTTTCTCTAAAAAGGAGTGTATATAGCTTTCTCTCTCAAGCTATATTCACTCCTTTTTAGGGAAAGAAAGCTATACCTCTAATATAGTGCCCTTGCTGCTGACCGAAGCGGTTGGATGGGCATCTGTGCCCGAGTGGTGTCGGCACCCTAGTTTTTGTCTTCTTTTCGCATATTTCTTCTTTTTCTGAAACTGTTATGGTCTTTTGTATCCATTCGAAGTGGCTTATGCGAACATTTTTGGCTGGTTTGCATGATTTGCATGCCCATTAATGCAGCTGCAGGCCATG